CAGGCTGAGGCTGAGGCTGAGGCAGGCTGAGGCTGAGGCAGGCTGCTGAGGCAGGCTGAGGACAGGCTGAGGCTGAGGCTGAGGCTGATGCAGGCTGAGGCTGAGGCAGGCGGAGGCTGAGGCCGAGGCTGAAGGCAGAATGATGCTGAGGCTGAAGCAGGCTGAGGCTGAGGCTGAGGCAGGCTGAGGCTGAGGCTGGCTGAGGCTGAGGCTGAGGCAGGCTGAGGCTGAGGCTGTGACTGCGACTGCCGTTGCCACTGCGACTGTCATCGCGAATGCGACTACGACTGCGAGCACAGCAGAATTCTACAACTGGATTCCCATCTGAATCGTAAGGGGAATGCTTCCAGATATGCTCCTACACATCGCTGTTAGATTGCTTTGCCGGGATAATCTGACAAGCAGGGGTGCTCTTACGAAGTCTTCCCCTTCCACACTTATCCCAGTGCGACCCTACCTAGGAGTTGGAGCCCCTAGGAAAGCAGCATTAGTAGTAACAGTAAAGCTAAGCTAAAGCTAAGCTAAAGCTAAGCTGATACTAAGCTAAAGCTAAGCTAAAGCTAAGATGAATATAAGCTAAAGCTAAGCTGAAGCTACGCTAATGCTAAGCTAACACGAATCTAAAGCTACGCTAAGGCTAAGCTGAAGCTAAGCTGAAGCTAAGCTGAAGCTACGCTAAAGCTAAGCTAAAGCTAAGCTAACGCTAAGCTAAAGCTAAGCTAAATCAAGGCTAACACTAAGCTAAAGCTAAGCTAACACTAAGCTGAAGCTAAGCTAAAGCTAAGCTGAAGCTGAGCTAAGGCTAAGCTAAAGCTAAGCTAAAGCTAAGCTTAAGCTAAGCTAAAGCTGAGCTAAAGCTAAGCTAAAGCTAAGCTAAAGCTAAGCTAAAGCTAAGGCTAAGCTAAAACTAAGCTAAAGCTAAGCTGAGGCTAAGCTAAAGCCAAGCTAAAGCTAAGCTAACGCTAAGCTAAAGCTAAGCTAACACTAAGCTAGCACTAAGCTAAAGCTAAGCTAAAGCTAAGCTAAAGCTAAAGCTAAAGCTAAGCTAACGCTAAAGCTAAGGCTAACGCTCCCAGGGGACTGGGGGAACCGCGGGGCGGGGACTGGGGGAACCGCCCGGGGCGGTTAGCACTGCCCGGCCCTTTAAGCAAAGAGAATAAGAACCCTTCTAGGCAGAGCCTAGGTAGGGAATTAAACAAATATCTCGGCGAAAGACCCCATCATGAGCAAGTGTGAATACCGTGTGGTGGCGCCGCTCTCGATGGAACTCCCTATGGGGCCGCGAACGTGTGACGGGTGTGCCGAAATGAAGCAACGGTGCCATGCGGATCCTGCCACTGGTGCCCTGTGGAGCTCTTCTGGGGCCACGAACGGTGCGAGGGGTGCGCCAAATTAAGGCGGCGCTGCCATGCGGACCCTGCCACTGGAGCCTTCGGTGGAACTCCCTATGGGACCACGAACCGTGTGAAGGGTGCGCCGAAATGGGGCGGCGGTGCCATGCGAACCCTGCCGCTGTGGCCTTCGGTGGAACTCCCTATGGGGCCACGGACCGTGTGAAGGGTGCGCCGAAATGGGCGGCGGTGCCATGCGGACCCTGCCACTGGGGCCTTCGGTGGAACTCCCTATGGGGCCACGATACGTGGCGTACCAAAACGGGACGGCTGTGCCATGCGGACCTTGCCGCAGGAGCCGACCCGTGTGAGAGGTGCGCCAAAATGGTGCGGGACCGCCGTGCGAACTCGTCCCCTGGGGCCTTCGGTGGAGCTCCCTATGGGGCCGCGAACGTTGTGAGTTGTGTGCTAAAATGTAGCGGCGTAGCCATGCAGACCCTGCCTCTGGGGCCTTTGGTGAAACTCCATATGGCCTATGGGGCCACGGACCGTGTGAAGGGTGCGCCCACATGGGGCGGCGGTGACATGCGAACCCTGCCACTGTGGCCTTCCGTGAATCTCCCCACGGGGTCACGAACCGTGCGAGGGGTGTGCCAAAATGGGGCGGCGGTGCCATGCGAACCCTGCCACTAAAGCCGTCGGCAGAACTCCCTATTGGACCCGCGAACCGTGTGAGGGGTGCGCCCAAATGGGGCGGCAATGCCATGCGGACCCTGCCACTGGGGCCTTCGGTGATGGGACCACGAATCGTGTGAGGGGTGTGCCAAAATGGGGCGGCGGTGCCATGCTGACCCTGCCACTGGAGCCTTCGGTGGAACTCCCTATGGGACCACGAACCGTGTGATGGGTGCGCCGAAATGGGGCGGCGGTGCCATGCGGACCCTGCCACTGTGGCCTTCGGTGGAGCTCCCTATGGGGCCACGAACCGTGTGAAGGGTGTGCCGAAAAGGTGCGGCGGTGCCATGCGGACCTTGCCACTAAGGCCGTCGGTGGAACTCCCTATGCGGTCACGAACCGTGCGAAACGTGTGCCGAAATGGGCCGGCGGTGTCATGCGGACCCTGCCACTGGAGCCTTCGGTGGATATATGCGGTCACGAACCGTGCGAAAGGTGTGCCGAAATGGGGCGGCAATGCCATGCGGACCCTGCCACTGGGGCAATCGGTGGAACTCCCTACGGGGCCACGAACCGTGTGAGGAGTGTGCCAAAATGGTGCGGCGGTGGCATGCGGACCCTGCCACTGGGGCCTTCGATGGAACTCCCTATGTGGCCACGGACGGTGTGAGGGGTGTACCGAAACGGGGCGGCGGTGCCATGCGGACCCTGCAACTGGGGTCTTCGGTGGAACTCACCATGGGGCCGCGAATCGTGCGACAAATGTGCCGAATTGGAGCGGCGGTGCGACGCATACCCTGCAACTGGGGTCTTCGGTGGATCTCCCTATGCGGTCACGAACCGTGTGGGGTGTGTGCCGACATGAGTATACCGATGACGATGACGATGATGATGGCGATGCCGACGTCGATGGTGACGATGACGGTGAGGATGGTGATGGCGATGATGATGCGGATGGGGGGGGAAAGAGGGGGAGGGAGGAGGGGGAGGAGACGAGACGCGGGGCGCTGTCTCTTCAAAACAAGGACCTCACACCACAAGATGGCTGGGAACACCAATGCAAACCACACTTGGGGGAACACACTTGGGTCATGCTCGTGGGCCCCGCCCACTCTGTATTGTTGTT